CAGGCAGTCCATGTGCCTTTGACCAAGCGGGAGCTGACTTACCAGCAAACAGTTGATGCCGTGAACAAGGGAGTTGAGAAGTGGGAGGCCCGCTTGGGAAAGGACGACCCGATTGTGATTGATGACTACCAGAATGCCCAGTACTATGGTGAACCACCAGCACTTATATAGCCATTTCTATGCCATACGTTGCCACACAGTTAGCATGTGTTAGCAGCTAGCATGTGTTAGCATGTGCGCTCCTACGCTAGCCCCACTTCACCTTTTTGCTCCCTGAAATGGCAACAGTATTCTGCCCCAAATGATCCATTGCAGTGTTTATCAAATTAGCACATGGGTTGAGCATGACCAAGGTGAGATCTCCGTGGGGACTCCTGGCCAGAAGGAGATGGTGATTTTCGACACTGGCTCCGCAAACTTGTGGGTGCCAAACACCCGGCCGTTCTTGTCCCAAAAGAACATCTATGACCATTCCAAATCCTCGACCTACAAGAAGAATGGCACCACCTTTGCCATTCAGTACGGCTCTGGGCCTGTGTCTGGTGTCTTCTCCGCCGACACTGTGACAATCGGAGACTTGCAATTGAAGGACTACACCTTTGCTGAGGTGGACAAGACTTCGGGATTGGGCCTGGGCTATCGTTTGGGCAAGTTTGACGGAATCCTTGGTTTGGGTTGGGATTCCATCTCAGTGGGTCATGTGCCTACCCCCATGAATGCCCTGGTGAAATCGGGACAGCTTCCAGAGCCTGTCTTCGCCTTCTACCTGGGAAACAAGCAGCCAGGTGAGTTGGTTTTTGGAGGTGTTGATCCCAAGCACTACACCGGAAGCTTCTCCTTTGTTCCATTGAGCTCTGAGTCCTATTGGGAAATCAACTTGGATGGCGTGAAGCTTGGGTCCCAGTCGGTGTCCAGCACCAAGAGCGCCATTGTGGATTCAGGAACTTCTCTTTTGGCAGGTCCCAAGTCTGAGGTCTCGCAGATTGCCGCAAAGCTTGGTGCCAAGTCGATCTTGGGTAAGGAGTACGTGGTGGACTGCAGCGCCAAGTTGCCAGATTTGACCTTCACCCTCGGTGGCAAGGACTACACCTTGAAGCAGGCTGATTTGATTTTGCAGGCTTCAGGTTCTCAGTGTGTTTTGGGTCTGACCGGCCTGGATGTGCCACCACCTCGTGGTCCGCTTTGGATCCTTGGTGATGTCTTCATGCGCAAGTACTACGTCCAGTTTGACTGGGGTCAGAAGCGTCTTGGCTTCGCCACAGCAGCACAGGCTGAGGAGAAGACTGAGATGCAGGCAGTCCATGTGCCTTTGACCAAGCGGGAGCTGACTTACCAGCA